TCATATTTCTAAAAAGGGGGATGTAACGGTATTTACAGTATCGGGATACCTGTGTAGTCGGAGAGTTCACCATTGCTTGTATATGTTAGTCCGATTGTGATATTAAAGGACAAGTTAGCACAACAACACAGTGTCTAATAACGACAGTCTAACGTAACAAACTCCTTCTTGTAGTATCTAACGTTTGCAATTGATAATTCTTTCCGACTTTCAATTCAGCGAGAATTATTTGACATCGATTTCTCAGTCTATCTAGTCTATCCTTGTTATTTTTCCTCATCGGATTTTAAGAATATCTCTATAAATAGTCGACATAACTATGTGGTTTAAACTACAATCGATAGCAGACAACAACGTCCATTTTCATATAACAAAACACTCAAAAAATCTTTGAAAGAACAACTGCTACAGCATTAAGATCTTTGTAAATCCTTTCGCAAATTTAACTCTCTTTGCCGTAGCTCGAAAATTTGATTGTAAGTTAAAAAGTAATAACTAATCTAGAGACTAAACTTCCGTCAGGAGGAGCCAACGGGGTCTGTTCTTCTAAAAAACTGTTCTTGTACGATTTTTTTCCTGGGAAAGGGATTTTGAGCTACATTGCTGACAATCTCACAAGCAAATGTGGTGCCCTTCCTTCTTTAAAACAATTTTGTTCCTGGAAAACGTTTTAAGGTTAAAAAAAAAGGCTTATGTAACGTTTTTATAGTCAAAAACGGCTTATAATTGTTTTAGTTAGGATATTTGTATTTTCCTGTCAAAAATTCTTAGAGAGTATTCCTTGCCTGGAGAGTTCTTTTTTCCTGATTTTTTTTGCTGGAAACCAGTTGTTACTTACAGCTGGCTGGGACATAAGAACAGATACTTCCTACTTCCGTGTATTCACTTGGAAAACCAAGTGATAAAAAAGCATCTCTTGTTTTCCCCAAGAACAGTATATGGGGGCCCGAATTGGTCAAAATACACATAATTAACTTTTCGTGTTCATGAATAATTATATGTACTGAATGAATTAATTTTTCGTCCTTCATGATTAATTATTTGTACTCTTTGAATAAATTTTTCCTCTTTACCGTAATTAAATGTGGTGCTATAATTATTTATACGTAGTCTACGAATTAATTGTTCCTCTTTACCGTAATTACATGTGGTGTCACAATTATTTATACGTACTCTACGAATTAATTTTACCTGTGTAAATTATTTTTTTCCTGTCCTGCAATTATTTATGCTTTTTCTAAATTACTTTTCGAACGAGATTTAATTTTTCGTGAGTACGAATTGTTTATTCCTCTTCTTGAATTATAATTAGCGAATCCCATGTAGCAGTGCGCGCACCATTAGACTTCCCATCACCCATTGCAAGCCCTCTTTCAAGATGGCCGAGGGTTGGAATGCTAAAGAGCAAGAGGAGATACGAAAAATTGCAGAAACTGCGATTGAAAGTATAACGAGACTGTCGAATATTGTCGAGAGGCGAAACACAAACCCTTCAAACAGTTTCACTGAACTTCAGCGAAGGTTTCCAACCACAGCACCAAGAAATACCTCTACAAGCTCTACAACAAGTACTAGTACACGTGTTTTATACCCCACTTCGAGTCGCAGTAGCCGTAGCTCAAGACCAACACCTTACTCGCGTCGTACTGCAGGACGACCGCATGAATCAGTTACCATTTCTAAAGATGTGGTGGTCATAGAATATGGAAAAGAAAAATTTCCATCCAAAGCAGAAAAGGTCGAACTGGAAAAATCCAGAAGAATTATCTGTGGTTTTGAAATTGGCCGAGAGTGGACGTCAGGACAGCTAGAGAGAGAACTATCTGATCTTTTAAAAGGTACCGATATGGAGGGATTTTCATTTAAAAATTATGAAAAACTGTTCGGGGACATTGGTTAAACCAAATATTCCTGTGGGAAGAAAAATCGACTCCAAGCTGTTACTTAAATCAATTGCTCGAAATTGCCCCAACAGGCTGTGTATACATACGATTGCTTGCTGAGTTGCCAAGCGATGATGATCATGATGACGTGTTTTCACATTCAGTTTTTGATGCAAAACCATCAACCACAGTGACTCCAACAACTGCAGCCTCTACTACTCCAATTAGTAATACATCATCACCTAGCATTAGCCAGACCAGCACATCAGCAACCAGCACATCAGCAACCAACACATCATCAGCCACTGTGATTTCAGCATCTACAAATCCAATAAGCCCATCTACTGTGAGATCAATAACAGCAACTGTGTGGATCTCACAGATGAAATGGCAGTGGACAATGATGGCGACTCTAGTTACCAAGGACATCCAGTTCAATGTCCATTTGACATCAACTCCATAATTAATGCTGTCAAAATCCAAAATCTGTTTGATCCAGTTGAGGTATTGAGGTACCTTCAAGAACACATTGTTCGAGGTAGACAGCTTGATGTTGTTTCGCCCGAAGAATCGTGTGAAGGGGAGACAAACTTCATCAATGTGGATAGTGTTATGTACTTTCGTCCCTTTTGTGTGTAATTAGAATTTTGTTAATCTTTGTTTTGTACTTTGTTTAGCTGAGCCTTTTGTCCTTTTATAAACTTTATAATGTATTCAGGTTTTTTTTCAGTATTTATTTTTTATATCGCATAAATTTAGTTAGTAGCCGTTCGCTTAGCGCAAGCTAGGCCGTTTCGCAGTATTTGGCTGCCGTAAAACCGATTTCTTGTACCCACAAATGTATTCGTAAGTATTGTCATTTTAGTCTTGAGTGTAATCGTTCGTTTAAGTCATAGTAATTGTTTATAGTTAATATGTAATGTTGTTCTGTAGGAACTAGAATAAAATCTACGTTCGGATATAACTGACCCGTATTGGCTACCCGTTATTAACAGATAGGGACAGGTCCCTTTTTACTACCTTAAATGAACTTGAGTTCATTGACGACTACAGGTTAACATTCAAAGTTGGATTCATGGGAGAAGATGTTGCAGACCTTGGAGGGCCACGAAGAGAGTGGATTAGAATAGTGTGCAGAGAGATGAAGCAGAAGTATTTTGACTTAGGACTGAGAC